GGAAAAGTGGGGGGAAATGGGACAAAATGGCGGAAAATGGGACAAAATGGTGGAAAATGAGACAAAATGGCGGAAAATGAGACAAAATGGGGGAAAATGGGACAAAGTGGTGGAAAATGGGACAAAATGGCGGAAAAATGGGACGAAATGGTGGAAAATGGGACAAAATGGCGGAAAAATGGGTGGAGATGGTGGAAAATGGGACAAAATGGCGGAAAATGGAACAAAATGGCGGAAAATGGGAAAAAATGGTGGAAAATGGGAAAAAATGGTGGAAAAATGGGACAAAATGGTGGAAAATGGGACAAAATGGCGGAAAAGTGTGGGGGAAATGGGAAAAACGAGACACACTTCGACCGTGCCGAGCCCTGGACGTGGCGCGGGGACGACCTCAGCGGTGAGGGACGGGGGGATTTGGGGGGAAAATGGGGAGAAAATGGGACAAAATGGTGGGAAAATGGGACAAAATGGTGGAAAATGGGACAAAATGGGGGAAGAATGGGAGAAAATTGCGGAAAATGTGAGAAAATGGGGAAAATGGGGGAAAGTTGGGGAAAATTGGGGAAAATGTGACCTTGACCTTCCATGACCCAACCATTGACAACGAAGAGGCTCCATTGACCCAACCATTGACAATGAAGAGTCTCCATTGACCTTCCATGACCATGAAGGGTCTCCATGGACCCAATCTTGACCATGAAGGGTCTCCATGGACCCAACCTTGACCATGAAGGGTCTTCATTGACCTTCCATGACCATGAAGAGCATCCATTGACCTTCCATGACCATGAAGGGTCTCCATGGACCCAACCTTGACCATGAAGGGTCTCCATTGACCCAACGTTGACCATGAAGGGTCTCCATGGACCCAACATTGACCATGAAGGGTCTCCATTGACCTTCCATGACCATGAAGGGTCTCCATGGACCCAACCTTGACCATGAAGGGTCTCCATTGACCCAACCTTGACCATGAAGGGTCTCCATGGACCCAACCTTGACCATGAAGGGTCTCCATTGACCTTCCATGACCATGGAGGGTCTCCATGGACCCAACATTGACCATGAAGGGTCTCCATTGACCCAACCTTGACCATGAAGGGTCTCCATGGACCCAACCTTGACCATGAAGGGTCTCCATGGACCCAACCTTGACCATGAAGGGTCTCCATGGACCTCCCATGACCATGAAGGGTCTCCATTGACCCAACCTTGACCATGAAGGGTCTCCATGGACCCAACCTTGACCATGAAGGGTCTTCATTGACCTCCCATGACCATGAAGAGCATCCATTGACCTTCCATGACCATGAAGGGTCTCCATGGACCCAACCTTGACCTTCCATGACCCAACCATTGACCATGAAGGGTCTCCGTTGACCTTCCATGACCATGAAGGGTCTCCATTGACCCAACCTTGACCTCCCATGACCCAACCTTGACCATGGAGGGTCTCCATTGACCCAACCTTGACCTCCCATGACCCAACCTTGACCATGAAGGGTCTCCATGGACCCAACCTTGACCTTCCATGACCCAACCTTGACCATGGAGGGTCTCCATTGGCCCGGCAGGGAACGACCTCTTCCTGGTGGCCGTGCACGAGCTGGGCCACGCGCTGGGCCTGGAGCATTCCAGCGACCCCTCGGCCATCATGGCGCCCTTCTACCAATGGATGGACACCGAGGACTTCCAGCTGCCCGACGACGACCGGCGCGGCATCCAGCAGCTCTACGGTGAGGCGCCGGCGCCGCCGGGGGAAAAACGGGG